TTTGCAAGACGGGTACATACCACGAAGTAGTTTGACCCTTGCGCGAGGATAACGAAAGCCAAAGCATAGGCCTGAGCGACCTCCTCAACAAGCGGGCTGGCGTAGTGGGTCCGAACGGCCGAGTGGTTGGCGGTCCACACCGCGAGAAGCGCAGAGGCCAGGACGATCGAGAGCAGAAAGTAAACAGGAAACGTCTTATGTTGCAGGTTCGAAAACTAGTTGTGCTCAAATAATCTAGTTCAGTCAACGACAACAATATTCACCCTGGCGCGGATTTTCGTTGAGAAGTGAACTGAGCTGAATTATCGAGCACACTTACTGAGGGCGCGGAAGGGTTTTGTACGCAATGACACCCCTTCAGAACGAAGCATTTAGACTCCAAGAAACGTTTCGAAGGTTGACCAACCCGAAGAAACTGATCCAAAGAGACATCCCGAACAGCCATCCATAGGCAACTAGATAGAGACCAGGCCCACTGAAGAGGCTTGTCACAGTCGCGAACGAGAGCGTTTGTACCATTGTGGGTGAGACGAAGTTATGTCGGCCGACGTCCCCGATCAATCCTCCGGCATTCGCTCTATCAACCAATCCAGACTTCAAGCTTGCGTTGGTCTGGCTCGCGGACAAAGCTGCCCGTCTGTCATCATGACTACTCAGAAGCAGCTGAGGTAGAAGTCTCTTACATGCATCTGACATCGCCAGCTCCATGATCGGGCACTATTCGCCGCAATGTGAAGCCTATAAGAGACGCAAGAGAAGGGTCCATTGTCAAGTTCTTCCCGTCCTTCACGATGCTCAGACTTGCCATTGCAACCCTGTCATTGTACACAACAATTTCTGCTGGCATTATCCATGCTAGCGACAACTTGGTTCTCCACAATGGCCAGAACATCACTTTTGACTATTAGAGTGTATTAGATTTCGCAAAATGTTGATTTTGTGGCGGATTTCGGTTAATCTGGCGAGCGTCTCAGAGAATTTAGAAATGATCGCTCGGACATAATGACATCACATCGCATACACGCCAACGTGACTCCACAGAACACGGTCAAGCGCACCTTTTCTTACCTCCCCAACGACCTCCCGATGCTCTCTCGCGAAGAAAAAATCCTCCTCGGAGTTCTCCTACCCCTGACCGAAGATGCCGATGCCGATGGCATCCGTTTTCTCGATGCTTTTGCCTCCTGCCGTGCCCAAAACGACGCCGCTCGAAGCACCCTTTTGGCTGAGCTGCAGAACGAACCAGAGGTTCAACGGGCAGCAAGAGCACGTCCAGAGATTGGTGGTACACGGATAACTTGGCCATGGTTGAAATCTTTAACACGGCGCGAGTGTCTATGGCGATTTAGGTAAGTTTATCCCTGCCGCGCTGCAAACTTTGGCTTATTTGTTTCAAGGTTCTACCCAGAAGAGCTTGTCGATATAGCGAACGCGATGAGAATCCCGGACCCCTTCTGGACGTCCGACGGGTCTCGCTTCTCCTCGCTCGAGGCGCTATGCCTTCTCCTCGCGCGCTTCAAAACCGCGGGAGATCAGTATGAGCTCTCCGCACAGTACTGTCGTTCCCAGTGCGCCATATCGGAGCTGGTCAACGAACTAGCAGCTTGGATTGACACAACATGGCGACACCTCATGTTGTTTGACACCGACGGGCTTCTCGCTCCCGAGCGCATCGAGATGTACGCGGACGCAATCTTTCAAGCCGGATCGCCCCTCGAATGGATCTGGTCCTTCATCGACTGCACTATTCGGGCCATCTGCCATCCGACTTGGAACCAGGGCCAGATGTACAGCGGTCACAAGAGGCTGCACGCGATGAAATACCAGGCGCTCAAAACCCCGGATGGGATGATTGCCCATCTCTGGGGTATGGAGGTCGGTCGCCGCAATGACAATCACCTCCTGGCGGAGTCTAAACTCCTGGAATGGTGTTATACCCACGCGACACGCCCAGGGACCGATCAAACCACCCCGCCATCTCAGCGGTATTTCCAGGTCTTCGGTGACCCCGCGTACGGTCTCAGCCCAGTAATGATCAGCCCATATTCGGGCGCAGGGGAAAGGACGGAGGCGGAGCAGGAGTTCAATAACCTCATGTCTGCCTTGAGGATTGAGGTTGAGCATGGGTTTGGCGGGGTAACAGCGTTGTGGCCGTTCATGAATGCTTGGTGGAAGCACAAGCTTTGGGGGTCTCCCATTGACCACTACTATCCCGTCGCGGTGTTGCTCACTAACGTGCACAACTGCATCCGCCCCAACCAAACCTCTCAGTATTTTGACTGTCAGCCTCCACTGCTCGAAGACTTCTTTCATAACTAGTTATTATCATTTATTGAAGTCCGAGTTTTAATTACTTCGTGCGCGTAGTATGTATGAGTTCTACTTAGTCCTTTTTGACAAGATGTTCGAGAAGATTAACAACAGCCTTACCCCTCTCCCTCGCGTCGTCAACAAAGGTCTTCATGTTCTCCGCCATCTCCTTATCGCGCTGCTGGCGCTCCGAGCTCTCCTGCTTCAGAAACTCCAAGATATCGGCGGACTTGGCCGGAGTGTTGCCGGTGCGACGATCCATATCGCGACGGCGCTGGGATTTCTTCTTCGGGGCGGGGCTGACGTCGGCGAGAGAAGGAGACGGAGAGGTCGAAAGGCGGCGGCGCTTTGACTGTGGCTCTCCGTCGCTGTCCTCGGCAGTCGGGGAGGCCGACGGGCTGGTGTTGGACGAGTCGGAGTCGGCGGGAGTCGGGGAACGAGCGTGTTTGCGACCTCGGCCCCGCGTCGCAGCGCGGCGGATGTGTTCCCCGGCTTCCCTGTTGTCTTCGTTCTTCTACGGGAACATCGGAATTAGCAGGGAATACAACGGCGAGAACGAATCACGCACCTTTTTTGTCTTATCCTTGGCTTCGTCCGACTTTCCCTGTGCCTCCTCCCACTGCGTCTCGATCTGCTCGAGTATAGCGCCCATGGGTATGCGGACATCGTCGCGCTGGAGGAAGCTCGCGACCGACTTGGCTTCGTCGCACTCATGATTCTATTGGAGTTTGAGCAATCGGTCGCAATCGAGTAAAGTGAAGATGTACCTTCTTGTACGCAACTAACGCCTTTCCCTTGCTTTGGAGGGTGGTTGGTTGGACGTCAAAGGGGAAGCCCTTCTCGCGAAGGTGCTCCTTGACCGCCTTCCACGCCTTGCCCACCTGCGGAGCCAGGAAAGGCTGTAGCGTAACGATGGCTCGTCCGAGCTGGAGCAAGCCCTCGCCGTTGATAACGGGACGTCCTGGCTTCGCAGTCTCGGGCCGTTCACCAGGCTGTCTCCCCTGCTTAGTGGCTGGTTTAGCAGGGGAGGTGTGCGTGTGCAAGGAGGGAAGGGCGCCGTGAGGTAGATTCATCGCGTCGGTGAGTGGCCGATGCGGCGGCAGCTGAGGTGGCGGATACTGCATGTTGACCTGTGCAAGCTGGTGGTGGGCGAAGTGGAGCGAAGGCTGGGCTGGGGGTGGATAGTCGAGAAGGTGTCCGTTCCTGAGCATGTCGTCGGTAGACCAGCCAGACACGTCGTATTCAGCGTCCTGGCCGAAGCCCGTAGTAGCGATGAGAGACGGGGAAATAATGCTGGGAGGGAAGTCTGGGTCGTCGGCGGCGTAGATATCCATGGGTAGACGAAGGTTAGACATGGCTGGTTGTGAAAAGAGTGAATTCTGCGCACCAGAGGTCCTGCTTTTATCCCGCTACCAGCTATCTATGACGCGTCGCTTGCGGCCGTGGCTCCACCTAAGAGATCATCGGCACGGCGCGAGTGGGGTGGCTTGATTTGCGTCGAGGATAGTGGGCCGGAGGAGAGACGCGACGAGCAACGAGAAGTGTTGTGCAAGCCGTGAGCAGTGACAAGGGCACGGGGAGTGACCAGAGTGACTTTCTCGCGTGGAGCAAATCGAGTTCACAAAATCTCGCAGGACTTTCACTCGCAAAATAGTGGCATCAAATCCAAATCTAATACACTCTATTCCGACTCTATTGTTCCGGCGAGCAACTTGTTCGGCATGGGCCTCCTTCGAACAGGTGCAGAGCAGCCCAAAAAAGTGACCTCAGACGGGTGAGCAATAACAAATTGCCTACCACCAGCAAGCCTAATGTGCCATGCAGATGGGAGGGACCTGTTATTCTCAACTTGGACGACATGGACGAGATCCCGGCCACATATGTTCTACAGTATCCATTCTTCCAGAATGGCTCATCATACAGTATGTGTTGCATTATTTGCTATCTGCCGTGCTCTCACACCGACTGCTTAGCTGCTCAAATTTTCCAATATGATACCACAACCCTTCACGTTGTTGTGCCAAATGTTCACAACACAACCTTCATTTGGGTGAACCAGCCTGGTCAGGATGTTTAACCACATACAATATGGATTCCCCAGTTGTCTGTGGACTTGCGCGTAAATACATTGTTGGCTCTGTACAATAACTTTGCCAAATTCTTGGGTTGCTTTCGGCTCCGTCCAGACCAGGAGAATGGAAAGAGACATTTGCTCTCGCTCTAGACGACAACTCACTCTGAGTTGAGGCTGAAAGTGTCTGATATTTAGTGCGGGGTCTTAGGTTAAGCACTGAGTTTGAGCACTTGAATTTTGATCTGTTTCGCCCCATTCAACTTCTACCAGTGTCCCCAGGCTGCATAGCAGACCATGAAGACCCTTATATCATGTTTCCTCAATCAATGCAGGTCTCTCGACTCCCTTGTGCAGGTTCAGCACTGAATTCAAGTGGAAAAACTTGGGTTTTGATCCGTTTTGCTCCATTCAACTTCCCCCAGTGTCCTCAGGCTGCATGGCAGACCATGAGATGTCTTGTATCACGTTTCTTCATTCAATGCAGGTCTTTCGACTGCCTTGTGCAGGTTCAGCACTGAATTTAAGCAGAAAACTTGGTTTTTGATCCGTTTTGGTCCATTCAACTTCTCCCGGTGTTCTCAGGCTGTATAGCAGACAATGAAGTGTCTTCCATATCGCCCGCCTAGCTCAATCGGATAGAGCGTCAGACTTTTAATACAGTCGTTTCGGCGGGGTAATACTTCATCTGAAGGCTGCGAGTTCGACCCTCGCGGTGGGCTATCAATCTTTTGCTTTTCTTCGGCCCGTCATCGTCTTTCAGCTCCCCCCTCAAAAGGTCACCAGGAACTGTCAAGCAGCACAGGCTCTGCAAGGGCCTCTTTCCTGTAACCCTGACTGCCTCAAAGCTTGCCAGGGAGTTACACAGGCAGCAAAGTGGACCACTTATTTTTGATAAGTGGAACACGCTTGTACATCACTTTTCGCCCGCTTGTCGTCCGCTTACACACCTTTCCACCAGTAACACTGGCAACACCTACCCTGATGCCAGAGGTTTCCATCAAACGGCCTTATTGTCAAAAACTTCATGGAAAGAACAAGAAGCTCTTCAAGTTTTTGGCTGCCACAATAGTCCACAACCTGACGGAAGTGAGACGGTGAAGGTAAGAGGCTTGAGGCTTGAGATTCCGCAAATATAAGGAATATTACACCGCTCTGGCGCTTAAGTCTGGGAAGCAGGCAGTAAGCGGTGGTTAAGCACGTGGTGGGGGGTTTCGCTTACTTTTTTACAAGCAGTCCATCTTGCCGGCTGGGTTAGTTGTACAACTATGAACTGAGCAGCAAAGATCCTCATATACAGTCCAATGTACCCCAAACCGATGTCAGGCGGTAACAGACAGGCTGGCCGATCTCAGTTTACCCCATAAAGTTATTCTATACTGTGATTCCAAGTGGGGAAAGCTGGAGGCAGGGAATGATGGAGTTACACCCCAGTCGTAGGTATCGCACACGAATCCATCTTACTGTTTTTGATTCCTCCAGTACTCATATATACCGTCTGTTTCGCTGTCGCCTCCTCAGTCTTTCCCTTACGGTATCTGAGGAGGTCAGTCTCTATTTATTTCCCTCTTATTTACTTTACACATCGTACTGTAGTCTTTTGTTATCAGGTACTTAATATCACACAGTCTTTCCCTTACGGTGTCTGAGGTTGATTCCACAATCCCACTGGCATACAAAGGCCCTGTGGGCAAGCCTGATACCTCTTTCCACCTTTCCTCAACAACCTCTTTCAAGTCAAATATGATGGCCCTCTGGGCAAGCCTGACACAGTGAGACACAACTCAGTCGAATATCATTAATATCATTAATTTACGACTTTCCAGATCACTGATGGTACGATCAAGCCCAAATGTGATTTTGACTGATGGGTTTTAGACCCGATCCCTCAGTCGGTATCAGGAATTATGGTCATAAGTTATCTTGGTAGGATGAGCCCCCTCCTCCTCATCCTTACTCCTCACTTTGCCTTAAATTTACCTTCTGCCCCCTACTTCCTGTTTGTGTTTGCCGTAGCCAAGTTGTTAGCAGGATATTGCTTGACACACCACTCTTTGCTGCATCTGTCCGACGATGGTTGTCTGTCGGGTATTTGTTGTGTTGCCCTGCCTTCCAGACCCAACCTGATCAACATGGGCAAACCTGCAGTAGTTTAGATCCAGTTATGATCCACTTATGCTGGTGTTCCAGTGGTGTCCTTAGCAGAAGATTGAGGGCATTGTAGTGAATTTCTTGAGGGTGAGTGGCTAAGCCAGAGCATGCAGATGTTTGTTCTGGTCCCTGGACTCCCAGCTGCTTGCCCATTCTGTTAATGGTTCCAGGTACAGACTAATAGTACATAGTCCACTGATAAACACTATCTTCGAGACATATTCACCCTTGTTCCCACCCTGGCTTTACTGATCCTTTGACTGCACTGTCTGGGCTGGTGAACAGTTCATGTACAGCTTCCAGAGTATCCAGGCACTGCCCGCAGGGCCATTACCTCAGAATATAGGATTGTGTATTAATGGCTGATTACAACAGTACCATCTCCTTACATAGCTGCGTGGTTGATTAGAGACATCTAATCAATTATGATTTATCTCCCTTTTGGTGCAGTGGTTCGGCACACAGCTCGGACTGTCTTACAGATTGAAAGAAAATACTTAGAGACTGAGCTCCGTCTGAGTGTGCCAACCAACTTATCCAAGGCTTTGTTATATGTCAAGTGTCAGCTAGGTAGCCAGTGATCCCCCTCAGGGTCATACAGTGAATCGTACAAGGAACTGATATCCTTTACCTTGTTTCCATTGGTTGATTATTTTGTGAACATGCTATTATTCTTCGCCATTGACGACAGTGGGAGGGGGTTCATTATTCTTGGGGGAGGAATATTTCTCGTTGTCGTTTTGGATGTAAGGTTTGATCTGTGAGGAGTAGAAGACGGGGAAGATATTGGGCAGCTTGGGCTGTCGACTTTGAATGCCACCATAAATCTACACAGAAGACAGTGTCATTTGGAATGACATTGATCTCAAATCATCGTTGTAGTCTTGTTGTGTCAACTCGCAGCAGACACTTTTGGAGACAGCAGGAGTTGAATGAACAGGACGGCAGACAACAAGACAGCGGAAAAGCAACTGGAGCCAAGTAACTGTTGTCAAGGACTGCCAGGGTTTGCTGGGATAATTGTTTTGACTTGCATGCTTTCCAATAATCTTGAATTTTAGAATAAAATATTCATAAAACCCAAGACATTTGATACAGCAGTTTGACAGCAGTGCCATGGTCAGAACAAACCTCCACCAGTCAACGGGTGAAGACCTGTCCTAATTGCCATTGTGCCGAGCCAAGCAACTTGAAATCCTTGCATGAGGAGTCTCGTATTCTTGTCAAGAAGAATCTAAACTTCAGCGTATTCAAAATCACAGTTTCTCAAACCCCGATTGAGGCACACAAGCCGGCTACTGGTTGCAGCCTACTTCCAGGTCAAAGGTTGGTCGGATCAAAAGATAAAAGATGGACTAGCCCACCGCGAGGGTCGAACTCGCAGCCTTCAGATACCCGCCTATATAAGAGTCTGACGCTCTATCCGATTGAGCTAGGCGGGCGATGAAAGACATTTTATGGTTTGCTATGCAGCCTGAGAACACAGGGAGAAGTTGAATGGAGCAAAACGGATCAAAAACCAAGTTTTCCGCTTAAATTCAGTGCTGAACCTGCACAAGGCAGTTGAGAGACCTGCATTGAATGAAGAAACATGATACAAGACACTTCATTGTCTGCTATGCAGCCTGGGGACACTGGTAGAAGTTGAATGAAGTAAAACAGATCAAAACCCAAGTTTTTCCGCTCAAATTCAGTGCTGAACAACTAAATGTATCTGTTTACATGTTTACATTTCTCAATCACGCCTCCGTCTAAATACAAGACTGAGGTAGGACTACGCTAATAGCCTACCACGGCGGACCTTAGTAGAGTGTTTAGTTTTCCGCCAATTTTCGATATTACGCCCGTCCTTCGCGTGACTGCATGTCCTGCACAAGCTCGTGGAAGGTCTCTAAGAGCTAAAGAAGGCTGCGGGTCGATTTTTGCGTTCGCATAGAGCAAGTGTCACGGAATTTCACTCGCCTAGAGTCTGGCCTTGATTTGCCGACATCCAAAATGCAGAGAAAACCTTTTGTCAGCTGCAGTTGTTTGAGTTGTCCGGGTCACTGACCAGCAAGCAGGCCTTGTCTGTTTCTGGCACAGAGGGATATCCATATGCAGTCTACAGTCTTGTCTGGATATCAGGGTTCATCGGCCTGTTGAAGGTGTTCTTCGTCTCGCAGTACAGTGCCGGCCGTTATTGCTTGCAATTTTTCCTTCAGTTACATTATGGCAACAACCCAACCTGCGACACCTGGTAAAAATTGATACCCGGAGCTGCAGCAAATCTGCTCGTTCCGTAGAAAGTCGGGATGTTGACAAACAGTCGCATAAAGATGGCAACCAACGGAAAATGTGCATTTGGCCGCCTCTAGAACAAGTATGGAGGCGCAGAGAATTATAATATAGTCTACCTAGAATCCATTTTAATTGTTTCATCCGATGACGACTTTGCCCTCCGCGTCGTTGAAGTCGTACGCAGGGATTTCGAGGTTCAACTGCACAGGACTAAGTCATTTCAAGGAGTAAAAGCTCAAGAAAAGACTGACCGGTGCGGGACCTTTACGGGTGCGCCCAGCTAGAGGGACATTGAGATGAGCACAAAACCTTGATCAGCATTAAACAGACGTACAGATGTCGTAGTGAGAGCCGTGGCACGGGCAGAACCTATACCAAGGTCAAGAACGACGAGCTGGACCATGACAAAGATACGCACCATCCTCCATAGTCTCCGGATTCTCCGATAGGCACACATCCCAAGTGCGTGCAAACTCCGAGCATGATCAACCACTCGGGCTTCTTGACACGGTCCTCGTCACTCTCGGGGTCCCTCAGAGACTGCCATTTAGTCCCTCTGGCCTCGTCAATCTCCTCCTGAGTCCTGTGTCGGATGAACACCGGCTTGCCGCGCCATTTGATGACGACATTCTTTCCCTCCGGAATGCTGGCGAGCTCGACCTCGACCTTGGCGAGCGCAAGCACGTCCGCAGACGCCGACATACTTTTGAGGAATTCGGTGACGGTAGATTTGGCAACGGACGCAGTGACAAGTCCGAACGAGCCGACCATAAAGTAGGAAAGCGCGCGGTTGCTATCGGTATCGTCTGCGCGGTAGTGCGAGAAATCAGGAACCTCCGGGGCGCCCTTGACAGCGGCAGAGGTGTGTATAAAGCGTGCAGTGAATGGTGTGGTGGAAGGGACTGTTTATTGTAGGTTCAGACTGAGTTGTGCGACGACGACCAGACTCACGGGTGGTGTAGCTCTTAGATACGAGGCCGGAGGAGCGCGAGACGCCTCCGGACCATCGGGGAACGACGTCTGAGCGGGGAGCGGCTGCACCGTGGCCGTGCGCATGGGGGTCAGCGGGTGCTCGCGCAGCGAGGTTGAGGAGGGGGGCGGCGGGAACCCCAGACGGTAGGGTGCGCACGCAGGGCGTCAGCGTCGTGGCCACCGTTTTTTTCAAGCCGTTGAAAGCCATCGTCGTGGTTGGCGTTAAGCAATGTGATGCGGCGGATCGAACCGGTACTTACATAATAAATTATCTCTATATTTCTACATTTTTTCTAACTCGTTACTCTATCATCTATTGTGC